TCTGTAAATAAAGTTTTATTGCAACCACACTCATTTGTTTACATAATGTCTATGGCTTCTTTTGTGCTGGAATGACAGAATTCAGGAGTTGTGACAGATTTTTATGGCATTCTCATTGCTTTGCATTGTTGCTTGGTACACTGTAATTACAGTGATTCAAGTGCCATGATTTCACTGTACTGTGATGTTTTACATTATTTATTATCAGCACATACACATGTCAAAACAAGAAAAGATGAGAAAAATGGACTTGACATGTTATACTTTCAAAGCACAATGGAGTGTAGACTACTGAATTAGATGACAAAGCACTGTGATTATTATGCAGTGACACTATAGATGTGCTAATGAGATGCAGTGTATACTGACATTACCAGACTAATCATTCATCATAATATTCCCAACTGATAGCAGAGCAATGGTCAGCAAAATTAGAAAACTCAAAGAGGAATATTTTATCACAGCAGAATTTGTTTACCAAGTTAAAAAACAAAAATCAGGCTGTACCAAGCAAGGAAATTGTTTACTGATGGGGAATTAACTAAATCATGTTTGATTATAGCGGGCAAAGAAATGTGTTTGGAGAAAATAAATTTAAGACTATTAACCTCTTTTTTTCTAAGATTTTATTCATTTATTTTCAGAGAGAGGGGGAGGGAGGGAGGAAGTTAGGGAGAGAAGCATTCATGTGTGAGAGAAACATCAATTGGTGCCTCTTGTTGCCCCCAAATGGGTGTTACAGAACAACGGTGGGGGGGGGGGCAAAGGGCGATATGCTATTACCCGAAAGGAACCCCCCAGGTTCATTATGTCTGCCACCTTATAGGAAAGACATCTCTCAATGCCAGAGATTCGTGAAAAGGAAAGGAAGTGTTTATTTAATGCTATATAGACTTAAAGTAGCGACCTAATGTTTTCATCAAAATCCTAAAGTCCCTTAAAACACCCACAAACATACACAGTTCCTTCTTCCCCACTTTGCCCAGTCTGGGGTACCGTATCTCAGGAAAACAAATAGAAGTCCATGGCTCAGGCAGCTCCTGGTTCTTCCCAGTAATCTGTCTTGGCTGGTAGGCCTCCCTCGGTTCCCGGCACCATCAGCTGTGTCACCGGGATCTCTGCTAAAGCCAGGTGGTGGTTCCCCCTTCTAAAACTGTGGGAGTCCCCATTCTGGCAAAGCCGTCTGGCTCTCCTTTCTATTGCCACAGCCATGTTGTCCCCTCTGCACAATGGCCGCGGGAGTCTCCACTCTGCCAAAACCACGTGGTTCTCCTTCCCAGAGATGTGGGAAGGGGGGTCATCACTCTGCCAAAGCTGCATGGTGATTCTCTCTCACAGGGTTGTGGGAGTCTCCACTCTGCCAAAATTGCATGGTTCTCCCAGCAATGGCTGCTGTAGCTCAGTTTAAATCCCTGCTCCAATCTTCCTCTGCAGCTCCATTTTTGACTCCTCCCACAATCGGCTACACTTGCCAGCACTCTTCATATCCTTCCAGGTTTACTGGGCAGCCATAGTGCGTCTGGGCAGGTGTGGTTCTGTGGTGTGAAGCCAGTCATCTCCAAGCTCTCATGCAGGTGCTGTAACCAGGGGGAGTTGCCTCCCAGTTACATCTTGGGTGGAAGTCGCTCCCTTCTCCCTGGCTGAAAGCATGGCCACAGCTATTTAACCTATCTGTGAAACCAGTTAAAGGTTATAGGTATGTTCAATGACCATGCCAGAAGTGAGCTGCAAAGCTGTTGCTATGCAAAACAGCTCTCAATGGCCCTGCTCCATGTGTCCCCTCCCCCAACCCACACCTGTGGGGGAGGTGGGTGAGGACATCCTAATATTTCCTGGACACCCTGAGTTCTGGGCCCCACCCTCTTGGCTGCACCCTGTTACATGGGGACCCAGCCTGCATCCAGGCATGTGCCCTGACAGGGAATCAAACCAGTGACCTTTCGGTTTGTAGGCCGGCACTCAATCCACTGAGCTATGCCAGCCAGGGCAATATTGACCTTTTGGTAGGAATAGTTGCTGGAAGAGTTGAGGGTACCAATAATGAATTGAAAAGAAGTCAAATGATTTTCGGTGGTTTTCCTTGGCTGTTGATGAATTGACAGATGTTACAATGGTCAATTTGTTGCTTACTTGAGAAGTCAATGATGAGTTTGAAGTTACTGAAGAATTAGTTTTAATGAATAGTGCTCATGGAATAAGTACAGGCAAGAATATTTACAAAAACTTGAGAAAACACTAAGTATCCTACCTGAAGTGTAATCTGCTAAGATGTCAGACAAGCTAAAGGTGTAGAACAAAAAGGCTTAGGTAAACAAATTTACAAAGCTGTGAAAATGTAAGGTGGTAAAGGTCTATATCCATTGTTTATTTATCAGCAGCCTTTTTGGAGAGAATATTTGAATCTATCATGCAATATGGAACTAGCAGTGTCTCAAAAGTATTGCTCTTGTAGACTTAGCCATTGTCAGTCCCATGAATTTTTGTCAAAAATTGAAGCTAAATATCTGAACTTGTTCTACATGACAGATCAGTCAGTGGCTTAGCAGTGGTAAAGTTCTATTACAATGCTTTTGAACTTAGGGCTCATTTGCAGCTTTTCTGAATCAGAGGGACTGCTCTCTACCACTATTACTGAACACTGAATTGCTTTGGAAATTAGTTTTTTACTGCAGACTTGATGTTTTTTAAAGGATTCCATCTAAAATTGTAAGACAAAACTGGTTTATATGCAAATCTAGAAATTGTTTCAATGCCACCTAATGTTGTTTAACTCACGACTGCTGTTTAAAAAAAATTTTTTTTTATTCTGGCCCGAGGACATGCTTACTGATTTTAGAGAGAGGAGAAGGGAGGGAGAGAGAAACAACACTCCAACCAACTGAGCCACACTGGCTGGCTATGGCTATCAAGCTGTTTTATATAGCTTTCTATGCAGTCAAAAGTTAAAGCAAAGAAGTGAAATCTTCACTACTCTTTCCCCCTCTGACTAGATTGGCAGGACATGTATTTTCTGAGCTCAAACTACAGTTTTAGCAGCATTTTTCAGACTTTGATGCAAGTGCAAAGGGTATTTTCATACTAAAAAATCCATTTAACTGCAGGTAAGGCACTTCCTCCTAACCTTCAATTAAAAGAGATTAATCTACAATGTAGTAACATGCAAGAGACAATTATCAAGAGTAAATTCTTTAAATGCCTCCTAAACAACAATTATGCTGAATGAAATTGTATGCCTGTGATTTGATATTTGTATGTGACAGTCCCTATCTGGATCAAAAGACATTTTCAAACATGAAAGACATAAAATCTTATTAAAAATCAGTACTAATGTATGAACATTTGCATTTGCTTTTGATGGTAGGGAACAGTAACTTTGAATCCAAACTAACAAGTCAAATATTTTTCCTCCCCACAAAAGTTTCATTTCCATTAGGAGACCTGTTTTACAAAAAGTTTCGCTCAACTGTTATAACATTTTGAATTTCATCAATAAAAATTGTGGAAAATTTTGTATCATTAATGTAACTACTTAACTAATGTCCTCAGTATTGCCTGTTGGTTCTCAAAACCTAAAATATTTTCTGTCTGGTCCCTTACAGAAAAAGTTTCCTGACTCCTGCTTTACATCAGGGTATTTTCATTTACACAGTAACGTACCTGCATATATCAGCAGAATTAATGTTTAGTCTCACAGTGCCTTTAAAAGAAAATAATAACATGGAACACCTTTACTGATTGCAGATTATTCACTGTAAAAATACCTTACTGCTTTGTGTTAATATTCTAATTTGAAGAAGACGTTTTCCATGGTTGTTCTATATTCTGTGATAGATCTACACAACTTTGGAATTTCTTACTGTGTAAAAATAGTGAACTATTTGCTGCAGTGTGACTCTCAAATAACATAGATGCTGCTTCAATGAACCTATGCTGGGAGAAGGGGCAAATATAACACATAGAGGAACAGTTCTATTTTCAAGAATGTACTGGTGTCACTTAAAATGCCTAGAACCAGATATGGTTAATTTTGAGGAAGAGTGTTAGAGCCCATGAAGAAAAGTGGCAGAGGAAAAGAGCCAAGCTATCCACACCAAACTGACTCTCTTGGGAAGGCGCAGAAAAATACTTACTGGTCTATTGTTCCATGAATTGAGAATAGGGTGATTTGGACTTCTTCCCAGGATGTCATTCTTCTGTAACCCTGGACTTTTTACTATTTGTAGTCTTGGGTGCAAAGTCTGGGATGATTCTGGGAGATGTGTGGAAAGCCTGAAAGAAAAACCAGAAGGATGGGCTGGAGGGCTTTGGTACAAATCAGAGATTCAGATGATGGTTTTCTAGCATCTTGTAGTATAGAAAAGATAGTGATAGTTGCTTGCACAGACAAAAAGCTACAGAGAATGACAGGGCCATGAGTAATTACAGTTGAGGAACAGAAAGGACTAATGTTTAATTCACAGGATTTTGTTTAGATATAAGTTGTATGACACATTAAATGCATATATAAATTATGCATGGGTAACTATAGGACTGTTCCTTTAAAATGTATTTCTTCCATGTGACTTTTTGTTCTTGGGCCAAATAGTTTCAGTGAGAATTGATTTCTGCAGTTTTAATTGACATCAGTGGAAAATATGGGATATTCATATATTTCTACATTGCCAAGGGTAAATTGAAAGGAATATAGCAAGATCATCTTTACTATTATTGCAGCTTGTAGTCATTATAAAGGAGCAAGGAAAACCAGTACCTGTAACATGAATCAGTAGTGCAGAGCTGTGTAATTTCTTATCATCTCTTGGGGTGTTCTTTTGTGATCTCCTTTGTGTTGCCAAAAATTAGAAACTTTGTTCAGTACTGTAAGATCCATTCAGATAACCTGAAGAAGAGAACCATCCTGACTTTCCAAGTAGTTTTAAGCTGATATTTTAAGGAATAATAAAAAATATTTTGAAGTTGGTGATAAAAACTTAATAAAAAGCCATTTTATTTATGTTTAGGTCTCTGAAGAAAGATGAACTTGGCTGAGATTTGTGACAATGCAAAGAAAGGAAGAGAATATGCACTTCTTGGAAATTATGACTCTTCAATGGTGTATTACCAAGGGGTGATCCAGCAGATTCAGAGACATTGCCAGTCAGTCAGAGACCCGGCTATCAAAGGCAAATGGCAACAGGTAAGGTCACATTATCCGTTGAGTCAGGGCAGTAGTCTATTGTACTTGAAAGATTGGAGCTTGAGATGTTGTAAATAGTTGTTATATGGCTGAATACTGAGATATTAAAACACATTCTAAATAATTTTTTGTCTTGCCCAGTTAATATTTTATGTATTTTTGATTATTTCATGATGAGACATACATCACAGGTAATTGGGTTGGCCAAAAGTCCATTTAGTTTTTTCCATAAAATAAAAGACATATTTTTCATTTTCATCCATAACTTTATTGATTTGGATATTTTGAGTATGTCATCTGTCTACCATTTGAGTATGTATAACATTGATTGTTCTCAATTAATGTCTTGATTTGATTACTGTCAAATTCACCTGGTCTACCTGACCATGGAGCATCATCCGGTGAGAAATCTCCAGCATGAAACTTTGTAAACCACTCTGGTTACATTTGATCAGTCACAGCACCTTCTCCATATACTGCATGAATCTTTTTTTGCATTTCAGTTGCATTTTTACTTTTCTTGAAATAATAAAGCATAATAGTCTAAAAATGTTACATATTTTCTTCTGTCTTCAATATTAAAATGGCTACCCCAAAATTCACCAATTTTGATAATTTTTGTAAATGCATGTTGATATGACAGCTGTCACAATACAATCTAGCAAAATTATTTTGAATGAAGTTAAAGACAACTAAGCACTACTAGAGCCATCTTATGGAAAAAACCAAATGAACTTTCTGGACAACCCAACTTAATTCTAATTGAATCTACTTTTAATTTTTAAAAATTTTCATGATCAGTTGCCTAATTGTGAGTACAAATTTTTGAAATAAGGTATGGCTACTTGCCCTTTCCCCTTTCAATTTAACAGGTAGTTTTGACCCATTTCATGAAACTTCTCCTTGAAGAAAGTTTTCTCTTTTCCCTGGCCTGGTAGTTCAGTTGATTGGAATGTCACCCCATACACCAAAAGGTTTCGGGTTTGATTCCTGGTCAGGGCACATACCTAGGTTACAGGTTCGATGCTTGGTTGGGGTGCATACATGTGGCAACTGATTGATGTTTCTCTCACATTGATGATTCTTTCCCTCTCTAACCCCTTCCTTCCTCTCTCTAAAATTAATAGAACATATCCTTTGGTGAGGATAAAAAAAAAGTTTCCTCTTCTTTTGAAAGACTCCTTACAAATACAAAGAAGTCAGTAATCTAATAAAAAACACTAATATATTTGCTGTCTCTTGAGTATACAACTTGATTATATAATAGTACAGTTAATAAAAACATGAATTATATTTTCCCCACTTATTCTTAAAACTTAAAATTCTTTTAAAATTAATAGTGCAGAGTCAAGCATTTCTTTGAAGTTTCCATTTTATGTACTAATGCCTTTTAAGTGTTTCTTCTAATTTTTCTGCTAGTCAGATTGATGTATACTAAATTTTCAGGTTAAATTTGGCTTATTTTTCAGCCTAAATGTTACCAGATTATGTTGAGTGAGAACAATATACTTGCTCTAACTCAAGTTGAAATTGTTAGTTGTTTTTTTCTATCGTGCATACTAGCCACAGATAAGAATGCTTTACTAATCTAGCATGGAAATATTTTTGATATGTTCTTAATTGTGTTAAGTAGTTGCCATTTCTATTCAGATATTTCTACTATATTTCTATTAGTTTCTAAAATTTCATTTCTTTAAGTATATCATATAATTGCATCTATGAGCAATTGAATTTTATCTAGGTTTTTCTTTGGTTCTTCATCTCCTTTATATGTTCCTTTCTATATATTATTCAAGATAAAACTAAGGGAAAGTTACTCATGCTGTGCTAAATATACTTTCTGATTAAAAAAATAGAATTGTTCAACTGAGTTTATAAATGTAAACACACAAGAATTTCTACATAATAAGTACTCAGTGAGGTTTTTTTAATTATTTTTTTTCACATTTTTAAATTTTAATTGTTGTTCAAGTACAGTATTCTGTCTTTTACTCCCATCCCTGCCCACCCCCCAGTGCTCCCCACCTCCCTCCCATTTCCACCCCCTGAGGTTTTTTAAGTATAGGAAAAAATCTTGCCTTTGAGCTCAAAATAAACTTTACCTAGGACTTGGAAGAATTTAACAAAGCCAGGTGAAGGAGAATTCAAATAAAAATTAGAAGTGGGCTTTCAGATGCTCATGACAGGCAGGCATTTCATATTTAGTGATATTGGGGACAGGAAATTGTGGTCAAAATTTTGGTTGATAATTTGTTTGGAAGCTATTGCCAAGTATGTTAAAAGGATTTAGCATTAATATTACAGATTTCTGGGAATGGCTACTTATTACTGACTTAGTTACTTATTTTAAGTTGTGTTCATGGTCATTGCATTCCTTGGTAAAAATAAAGTTCCATTATGAAGGACATATAACTACTTGCCCTGTGAAGGCTTTTTTCCAAATCAGTTCCTGAGCTGCCTTCCTGTCTCCATCACTGTAAATAGTTCTTTGTTTTTAATATGTTTTAATGACTCATTTTGCATACTTTGAAAAACATTAAGAAAACTTACATTCTGTAGCAATTTACTATTTGCAATATATAAACTTTAAAAAGTTTTTGATATAAAGGCTACATATATATTTTTTCAAGGTTCGGCAAGAATTATTGGAAGAATATGAACAAGTTAAAAGTATTGTCAACACTTTGGAAAGTTTTAAAATGGACAAGCCCCCAGATTTTCCTGTGTCCTGTCAAGAAGAACCATTTAGAGATCCTGCTGTTTGGCCACCGCCTGTACCTGCGGAGCACAGGTGAACGGGACTTCATGTTGTCGTTAGGTATTTCTGTAGCTAGTCAGTACTTAGAGTGAGTAAGTGAAGCTTTATTTGAATGAGGGATGAAAAGTCTTTTGGACGGGGGCATGTAAATATAATATCTGTATAATTGTTACACCTATAAGTTTAATGGACTTTGTATTTGATAAAGAACAGAAGCTCATCACTTGTCATATATCCTGCTTTTAGAACGTTTTACTACTGTACTTAAAACAATAGAAATCTACTACTCCTAAAATTTATCTGTTAAGTGAGATCTTTTATTTATTTTGTTTTTTAGTTTCCTTTTTTAATAGTTGATTTTTTATTGCATTTTTTCCATTACCATTTATCCACTCTGGCCCCCTTTCTCTCCCTCCACCATCATCAGCACGCTGTTGTCGGTGTCAGTGAGTTCTTCTTTGTTGTTGTTTGATCCCTCCACCTCCCCAAGCCCCTGCCAGAGTTGTCAGACTGCCCTCTATCTATGAGTATGTCTCTATTTTGCTTGTTAGTTCAGTTTGTTCATTAGATTCCACATAGGAATGAAATCATATGGTATTTATCTTTCTCTGACTGGCTTATTTCACTTAGCATAATAATCTTCAGGTCCACTCATGCTGTTGCAAATGGTAACATTTTCTTCTTCTTCTTCTTCTTTTTCTTTTTACGGCTGAGTAGTATTCCATTGTGTAAATGTACCTTAGTGTCATCTACTGACGGACACTTGGCTGCTTCCAAATCTTGGCTATTGTAAATAACACTGCAATGAACCTAAGGGTACATATATTCTTTTGAATTAGTGTTTCAGGTTTCTTCAGATAAATTTTCAGAAGTGGAATTGCTGGGTTATAAGGCAGTTCCATTTTTAACTTTTTGAGGTTAACTCCATACTGTTTTCCACAGTGGCTGCACCCATATGCATCCCCACCAACAGTGCATGAGGAGTCCCTTTTCTCTACATCGTTGCCAACACTTGTTGTTTGTTGATTTATTAATGATATCCATTCTGGCTGTTGTGAGGTGATATCTCATGGTGGTTTTAATTTGCATTTTTCTGATGATTAGTGATGTTGAGCTCCTTTTCATATGTCTATGGGTCATCCTTATGTCTTCTTTGTAGTAGTGTCTATGCAGATCCTTTGCCCACTTTTTAATTGGATTTTTTTTGGTGTTAAGTTGTATAAGTTCTTTATAAATTTTGGAAATTAATCCCTTATCAGATGTAGCATTGGTGAACATGTTCTCCCATTCAGTGGATTGTCTTTTCATTTTGTTGATGGTTTCCTTTGCTGTATAAAACTTTTTAGTTTGATTTAGTCCACTTTGTTTATATTTTTTGTTCCCTTGTCTGAGATACATATCAAAAAAAAAAAACTGCTATGAACAAAGTCTGAGATTTTATTTTATTATTTTTAGAGAGAGGGGAAGGGAGGAAGAAAGGGAGAGAAACATCCATGTGTGAGAGAAACATTGATCAATTGCCTCTCACACGCCCTCAATCAGGGGCCTGGCCTACAACCTAAGCATGTGCCCTAACTGGGAATCTAGTTGGCAACCTTTTGGTTTGTGGAATGATGCCCAATCCAGGTGCCATACCTGTTAGGGTATTATCTGAGATTTTACTGCCTATGTTTTCTTCTAGGATTTTTATGTTTTTGTATCTAACATTTAAGTCTTTTATCCATTTTGAATTTATTCTTGTGTGTGGCATAAGAAGATAGTCCAGTTTCATTTTTCTGTACATATCTGTCCAATTTTCCCCACACCATTAATTGAATAAACTATCTTTATCTCATTATATGTTTTTGCCTCCTCTGTCATATGTCTGTTTTTATGCCAGTACAATGCTGTTTTGATTACTGTGGACTTATAGTTTGATATTAGATAGTATGATTCCACCAATTTTTTTCTTCTTTCTCAAGATCGCTGTTGCCATTTGGGTTCTTTGGTTCCATATACATTTTTGACATGTATGTTCTAGTTCTGTGAAATGCATTATTGGTATCTAGATAGGAATTGTGTTGAATTACTGATTGCTTTGGGTAGTATGGACATTTTAATGATGTTAATTCTTCCTGTGCATGGACACAGTATATGTGTCTACTTACTTGTATCTTCAGATTCTTTCTTCATTATCTTATAATTTTCTGAGTATAGGCCTTTTTCCATCCTTGATTAGGTTTATTCCTAGGTATTTTATTCTTTTTGAAGCAATTATGAATGGGATTGTTTTCTTCACTTCCTTTTTTGATAGTTTATTATTGGTGTAACTCTTTTCTGGATATTAATTTTGTATTCTGCTAACTTGACTGAATTCATTGATCAGTTCTTATAATTTTTTGGTGGAATCTTTAGAGTTATCTGTATGTAATATCATGTTATCTGCAAATAATGACAGTTTTACTTCCTCCTTTCTAATTTGGATGCCTTTTATTTCTTCTTCTTGTGTGATTGCTGTAGCTAGGACTTCTAGTACTATGATGAATAATAGTGGTGAAAGCATGTGTTCCTTTCTTGTTCCCAATCTCCCAATCTTAAGGGTAGTGCTTGGCAGTTTTTACCCATTGAGTATGATGCAGTGGATTTACCATATAAGGCCTCTATTATATTTAGGTATGTTCCCTCTATTCCTACTTGGCTGAGAGTTTTTTATCATAAACGGGTATGGAATTTATCAAATGCTTTTTCTGCATCTGTTGATATGATCATGTGATTTTCATCCTTCATTTTGTTTATGTGATGTATCATGTTTATTGATTTGTGGTTATTGTACCAATCTTGCATCCCTGGAATAAATCCCTTAAATTTTCGCATCTGTGTTCATCAGGGATATTGACCTATAATTTTTTTTCTTAATCTGGTATTATAATTAGGATAATGCTGGCCTTGTTAAATGAGCTTGGGAGTCTTCCCTCCTCTTAAATTTTTTGGAATATTTTAAGGAGAGTTTAGTTCTTCTCAAATTGTTTGGTAAAATTTGTCTGTTAAGCCACAGGGCTTTTGTTTGTTGGGAGGTTTTTGATTACTGTTTCAGTTTCTCTAAGTGTAATCTATCTATTGAGATTCTCTGATTCTTCCTGATTTAGTTTTGAAAGATTATATGTTTCTAGGAATTTACCCATTTCATCCAGGTTGCACAATTTATTGGTATATAATTATTTGTAATAATTTCTTATGATACTTTGTATGTTTTTGGTGTCAGTTGTTATTTTTCCTGTTTCATTTTGATTTTGTTTATTAGGATCCTCTCTCTTTTTGTCTTGATGAGTCTGGGTAAAGGTTTGTCAGTATGGTTTATCTTTTCAAAGAACCAACTCTTGGATTCATTGATCTTTTGTATTAGTTTTTTTATACTCTATTTCATTTACTTCTGCTCTGATCTTTATTATTTCCTTTCTTTTACTTCCTTTGGGCTTTGTTTGTTGTTCTTTATCAAGTTTCTTTAAGTATAAAATTAGATTGTTTATTTGAACCTTTTCTTGTTTCTTGAGATAGGCCTATAATGTTACGAATTCCTGTTTTAGTACTGCTTTCCCTGTGTCCCACAGATTTTGGATTTGTTGTGTTCTCATTTTCATTTGTTTCCAAGTATCTTCTGATATCTTCCTTTATCTCATTGTTAACCCATTCATTGTTTAATAACATGTTATTTAGCTTCCATGTCTTTGTGTGTTTTTCACTTTTCTTCTTGGAATTGATTTCTAGTTTCATAGCATTATGATCAGAGATGATATCTGATACGATTTCAGTAAATTTATTTTATTGAGACTTGTTGTGTGTCCGAACATATGGTCTATCCTAGAAAATGTTTCATGTGCACTTGAAAAGAATGTATGTTCTGCTGCTTTGGGTTGAAATGCTCTGAAGATACCAATTAAAGCCATTTGATCTAGTATGTCATTTAAGGCCACTGTTTCCTCATTGATATTCTGCATGGAAGATCTATTCTCTGAAGTCAGTGAAGTGTGAAAATCCCCTAGTATGATTGTATTTCTGTTGATCTCTCCCTTTATGCCCATCGGGATTTGTTTTATATATTTTGGTGTACATTTATGCATTTATACATTTATGTTTACTAGGGTTATATCCTTTTGTTGGATTGTTCCCTTTATCATTGTGTAGTGTCCTTCTTTTTCTCTTACTATAGCCTTGGTTTTAAAATCTGTTTTGTTGGACATAAGTATTGCTACCCCAAGGTTTTTTTTCTTTCCATTTGCATGAAATATCTTTTTCTATCCTTTACTTTTAGCCTGTGTTTATCTTTCAATTGAGGTTGGTCTCTTGTTTTCTTATTCATTCAGCTACCCTATGTCTTTTGATTGGAGCATGTAACCATTTACATTTAAAGTGATTATTGATAGATAATGTATTTGTTGCCATTTTATTTTTTTAACCACGTTTCTCTTTTTTCTTTTTCTTGTTAAAGCAAGGCCTTTAACATTTGTTTTGATACTGGTTTGGTGGTAACAAACTCCTTTAACTGTTTCTAGTCTGGGAAGTTCCTTATTTCTCCTTCAATTTTATATGATAGCCTTACTGGGTAAATGAGCCTTGGTTTTAAGTTCTTGCATTTCATCACTTTGAATTTTTGATGCCATTGCCTTCTGACCTAATATGTTTCTGTCGAGAAATGAGATGACAGTCTTATGGGAGCTCCCTGGTAAGTAAATATCTGCTTTTCTCTTGCAGGTTTTAAGATTCTCTCCTTGTCTTTAAGCTTTGCCATTTTAATTATGATGTGCTTTGGTGTGAGCCTTTTTGGGTCCATTTTGTTTGGGACTTTGTGTGCTTCCTGCATTTGTGTGTCTTTTTCCTTCACCAGCTACTCACATAGCTGTAGTGCACTCTGCCCTCCCGGTGCAGGGACCCAGGGGAAGTGGCTACAATAGAAATTTTGTGTGTTGGCCCTTTGAAAGGCTGTCTGCATCTCAATCTATCTCTCCATGGTGGACAGAAACTCTGCTGCTTTATATAGCCGGATGTCATGTGGGCAC